ACTTTTATGTAAATATGTACAATCGTCCATTCATTGAATAAACTCTATGGGACTTGTGGGTGCACCGCTTGCTACATTCACCTTGAAAAATAAATATAAAATTAATCTTATTTGTTGATATGACTTCCATACTTTAATAAATATGTATACTTGAGAGCTTAGCACGCTCACATCGGTATATGTATGTACATATGTACATATGTATACTTTTGCATATGTTCGCAGTATGCACACAATAATTTCATAAAAGTATGCTTGAATTTATTTCGCATAATTGAAAATGATTTTAAAAGTGCTCTAGTTTTTTAAGTCTGTTATTCACTCACCACCATTGTCCGGCTTTGTTTGGTCGCTCGGTCTGCTCGAATATTAAGTAAGTGATTTTTAAGTGCCACTAAACATTTTTTTTTTGAACGGAAGTAATTACAATTGTAGTTGTAGTTGCATGAATGGTTAGTTGGTCGTTGATATTTTAACGCCCTTGGAGGAGTGGTTTTCTGACGGTGGATGTGTGTGTGTATGAGTCAGATTACATATGCATATATACATATCTACATACATGCATATGTATGTATATGCAGAGCGCATTCAAACTTATAATAATCCAAACATTTATGCGGAGTATTCACTTGTTCTCTAAGTGGCATAAAAGTCTAGAGTGCCGTTGAAGTGGAGTATGAGCTCTCATTTGATAGGATTTTTTCCACGTATCTACATACTCGTAAAAGCATACATAACTACATAGTAATTAAAAAAGCTGCTGAACTTGAAAAATTTGTAGAAATTCTTTACACATTGCGATAAGTCCACAAAGTTTTGTTTATTCAAAGTTTAATATTGTCTTGCCTACATTAATATGTATAATGCCTAATTGTGTTTCTTAAAGGACATCTAGTAGTGTCAAGTCACTACTTTCATATGGCTTTTTGGAATTGCTGGGATAATTTATGGGACGCCATGTGCCGTGTGACAAATTACATTCGCCTTCAGTGTACTAAGGTGCTTACTTTAGAAAAGATAGGTACTCCGAAGGGTTTACCATTTAGCAATAGGTCTCCATTGTGGTAGGTCGTATAAAGGTGATAATATATAATAGATATTGCGACCTGTAGATACATACATACATACCCATATATATTGTGCCCCCATTTCTTCACAGTACTGTTCTTCTAATTCCGAGGCCCCTAGAAACATCAAACGCGATTTGGGGCGTAGGTAATGGATATGCTCATCATTCGAACATAGTGAGCCTAAAATTTTCTCTCGCCCCAAGACGCGCTAGAGCGACAGAGATAACTGAACCATATTCCCAGCTTATGCATATGATTTCTCCACTTTCTAGATTCTGTAATTTCTCATAATCCTTAAATTTCCTATCCATAGCAGTTAATTCTCATTGTACTCGGCAAGGGAATTTATATTCTCTTAATATCCTAATTTTACCTCAAGTGATAAGAGAGCTTTGAGTTCCGTATGAATGTCGCATACAACTAGTATTTTCTTTGTAGATTAATCGCCGCTCAATGACTAATAAAGTAGTTGAATTGCTCGCAATTTCCCTTGAACAACTCTCCGGACCACATGTCTTTTTTAAATGACCGCGTGCTAACATTGCCATTTAATTAGGTCATTAGGAGGCATCAATGGGCGTGTTTTAACCCTAGTATTATGAATCCGTGAGCGGAGAATAACTTTTTACAATATTTCATAGGTTTTCTGTTAACACATTTCCACATTCCGAACTTTGTTTGCGACGTAAATATACCGACTATAAATGCGCGAAAGGAGCACATTTGTGCGAATTTGCGCCAGTTGGTTATCCCGAGCACAGACAGGTCCTTCTGCTCTTGGTCCTTCCATTGCGTTCGTGGGCGCCCTTGCTTTCGTTGTCCAGCCTTAGGTGCGGAGTTGAAGGATCTTTTCACCGGGGCATCGTCATCTCTACGCACAACATGTCCAAGCCAGTGCAATCGCTGTATTTTTATGTGCTGAACTATGTCCGTGTCGTTAAAAAGCTCATACAGTTCGTCATTCCATCTTCTCCGATACCCGTCGTCCACGAAAACAGGGTTGTTGATCTTGAGAAGAATTGTTCTCCCGAAAGCCCCTAAAGTCTTCTCATCTTTGTTCGAAATCACCAAAGTTTCTGCGCCATATAAAAGGACGGGCATGATGACAGCATGATGATTAGTTGACCGCAGCTGTACATATGTAAATACATATTTTCCCCGATTGTCGATACCGAATTAGCTTAAAACAAATTATAACTAATACCTAAATTTCAATAAATGTCTATTTAATATTTCTAGATATGTATATTGGATGCGTTTGAAAAATAAAAATGAATAAACACATAACAGGGCGGGTACGCATTTGAGCGCCCCCCTCGCTGTGCTCGCGACCAACCGCGTTTCGCTGCACCACGATCGCACTAACAGTAATAAAGCCATAAGGTCCTTATTGCGTATGGTGGTATTGCACCTGACCCTTTATAATAAAAAATAAATATTTGGTACTCACATTTTCATCCAGTGTTTGAACGAGCTTCTCCTTCGATTCGTGGTGTACGTCTTGAAATTATCGTAGAAATGGAGACATCTACAGTTGAAGGTGCTTACCGAGCGGCACGTTGTTGTGAATAAATTTTATTTTTTTCCTGGCAAAATTAGAGATGTACCATACCCTTGCCACCAGAAATATAACTTAACTTAGCGGCGAGGTATGTAATTGTAGGACAGGCGTTAGTTCAAGGGCAAAGGGCTTTGAGTGCCGCGGCCTGACGCTTACCGCCTTAGCCATTCATTCTAAAATTCACAAAGTATTTACGGAAATAAAACTCTCGAAAATTGTATTTTAAATTTGAAATTTGACTTTATTTATCTTGATTTTAAATTTAATCTTAGCTTTATAGTTAGTTTAGATCAGTTTACTTTATTTCATAGCAATATTTAGTATTTAATTAAATAAATATGCGTACTTAGTTTTAGTGTCTTCACGAGCAATCTGTCCCGTTTTCATCTACAAATCGTTTTTTTTCTCATTTTTTTTTACAGAAACTTAAGCGCTTTGCAGATTTCTACACTACATTTGTATACGCATTTATGCTTTTGAGTAATAAGTGCAGAATATCGCTTGCCACACTTTCAACGCATTTTTTCGTTTCATTTCATTTTTTAGACAATCGTAATATTTTGCTTCTCTTTTGTTTTGTTTTAATATTCTTATACTAAATTTCTTACTTTAATTAATTTATGCCAATTTAATATCATAAAGTTGATCTACTTTTGTAATATTTTTTTATTTTTTTGCTTTGATGCCAAGTTCATTTGCTTGTTAATTTTTTTTTTATGAAATTAATTTTTAATTTATCAAATATTATTAATTATCAGTTTTATAAAAAATCTGGCAATTAAAGGGAGTATAATTACTATGGAAATATTTTACAAAGGATTCGAAGGAGTTGTGCTAAAAAATATGAAGTTTTAAATTTTTAAAGTTCTTTTTACTTAACTTACACACACACACACACACATGCGCATACAGTGTTTTTCTGAAAAAAAAATTTAATGCACTTCCCTTCTGTGCATAATTTTTTTTTTGATAAATTTCTTTTTTGTTATTAACCCTACAGTGGTGTTCGCTTTTCAACCTTCATCTGCATACTCTCACTTCACACAAGTCATTTTGTATACATATACTCAGCATACAGAATTTAAAAGGCAATTTTCTGATTATTTGCCGATTAGCAGAAAACAAAGCAGCTTACATGCGAAAAGCAGTTGTTGTTGTTTTTTCGTCTATTTGATTTGCGTTAAGCTTTTATGTTTATTAATTTGTTTACCTTTTTACTTAGATCTCATATACATACATGAAAACGTCAGCAAAAATACATACACATGCATGAATATGTTACATCCCTGACGGAAACAAGTGATTTTTTTTTAATGAGTAAATGTTTTGAATTTTTATACACTTTTTGCTCAAAAAAAAAAAAAAAAAACAATTTGTCCAGAACGCAAGCGTATTCACAAGAAGCATACTGACTTTGAAGTTGTGTAAACCAAATTCATTTTAAAGTAGTTGAAATTAAATGCAGAGTCGGACAGTCGCCCTGCTGCTTGCACACAATGCAAACTGAACATTTGAAAGCACAAGAATTTCGATGTTCAAATCTCTTTTAATTTTTAATTTTTAATTTCGCTTTTTCTTAGTTATGAAAATGCATCTGTGAAGTGCAGAACATACTGACTTTGAAGCTATTTAAGCGAAATTCATTTTAAACTACTTGCAAATACATTCACGAAAAGGCAATTAACTGCTTCCCAGGACATTGTCATGTAAAATAAATGAGTTCGTTGCAGGTAAAATAGTGAGAGTTTCAATTAGTTATCATTGAAAATAAAGTAGTTTATAAATTACTTTCAAACTAATTCAATTTCCTGCAGGGATGTGTGAATGTGCATATGTACATATATGTATGTATGTATGCGAGTCTGTTGGCATGCATGAACAGTTATTAAATATGTTTATGCACTTTTTTGTTGCTGCCCAGCCTAAAGCCCAAATTTCAACTGCTTAATATATTATTAACTAATGTAATGTATGTATGTATTTACGATATTTGCATTTGTGTATGCATGAATGCATTTGTATAATTCTTTTTCCCCATACGCTTGCGATAGAGATATTTCAGGAGTTAAATGCTTTTGCACTTAGTCTTAAATTTGCATTAAAAATTTACAACATTTGCCGTGCCACTAAAAGCTCTTGCCATGCGCACACACACGCACGACCATGCAGCACACCTGCTGCTATCCGCTCCTACGCTTGATTAGGCTTTAATGTCCTTTTGGCTTGAAAGTGGCAACCTTTCTAGGAGCAAATGTGTGTAAGTATGGGTGTGTGTGTGTTGAACTGCCTTAGATTTGCATTAAATTGCGTTTTCATTTATTAAAGTGCATAACTTGTCGCTGCACAAACAAAATTTAACTGAATTTGTATTTGTTTGTTATTTGTGTAATTGAAGACATTTATTTATTTATTTACTCTTAGTTAGTTCCTTAGTTATTTATGCGTGGAGATATAAAATTAGTATTTACAGTCTTCTTTATTGGTTATAGTAGTTAGTTTAGCTTTAGCCATCTACACCGAAATCTATGCCCTTATTTTAATAGGTATTTGTTAATTTATGTCGTATTTATAATTACTTCTGCTTAAATTAAGTTTATTCTAAATATATGTAGCTAATAAATACAAATTTAAGCAGGGCTAATAATGTTTTTGTTGTATTTGTAGTTGTAGTTGTAGTTAGCGTTATTATTTGTATTGGTTTTGTATGCCTATTTGCTGTAGTAAATAGTTGTAGTTATCCACTTTGTATTGATTGTTTCGTAAGTTGAACTTGTTTGCCGATTAAAAAGTTGCAAATGGTTAGATTAGCAAATATATTGCCGAAATTCTGCGTTATTAAGCTCTTGGAGCCAAAGCAAAAAAGCCTAGGAACTTAAGGTAAAAATGCAGGAAATACCCTCTCTACATTTCAAAGTTAAATAATTTTCCTTTAGTAAATCTAATTAGTACAGAACTAACTAAGCAAATAACCCTCAGATTTTTATTAGATCTGGCGGGACAGAATAACTACATATATACATACGTATCCTTAAGGCAGAGAACTATATATTAAAATTTTTTATCAAGCCCGAATGAAATATGTAAAATATTTGCATACATAATAATTCTGAGCATTATTCTAACTGACTGAGGTTTAACTGCCGAATTTGTGTTAACCCCCCCGCTGTGAAAACGGGACTGAATCTTCCGAATTTCCAACCCACTGTAATGCTTGTGTTGCAGGCAATAAAGCCACAGACTATGAAATTAAATAGATAACAACGACGACGAATGGTACTGTAGAATGTCGAGCATTTCTATAAACTCTGCGACAGTTTCATGTAAATCTGTGCAGGAAATGAAGAAGCAAACATTTGTTATGATAGCTAATTGGCACACAAAGGACATGGAAATGTTGGTTTCTTCGAAAATTGTTGATGATGAGCTCGTTTCTATTGCGGATGCATTTAAATCCTACCTTATTAATTTTGTTTGTGCCTGGCCCATTGGCTTTGTAGGAGATAATGTAAATGCCCGAACACAATGAAAACGACGAGCTACCAACCACAGCTGTCAAATTATTTTAACACGTACTCTTATGTAGATAATTATTTTGGCGACGACCGGGCTTCGCGACGGCTGTGGTTGTGGCCAGATTAGATCTATTTCTATTTTTCTGGCGACAGATAAGGTTCTTCCTCTTCTTTTATGTCAAACTCATACAAATTCATGATGTCGCTGCCGCGTGCAAAGAAATCATGTCGCCATCGACAAAGCGTTTAGATAATGAAGATAACAAATTGGAAGCTGTGGTCTGTAGCTCGTCGTTTTCAATGTGTTCAGAACTTAACCTATCCATTGCCAAGTGAAAATTCAATTGGATTTCACCCATCTGGGATGAGCTGCTGGAACTGGGTGGGAATCCCATCCCGCGAAGGCGCTATCTTATTCTTGTAAATCTCGATTAAGACTCGGATCTCTCGGATGTATAATGGAAATGCAATGAGAGTATATACAACAAGTAATTTTTAGCAAAAAAAAACCGACTTCAACTCTCATATAAAAAAAAAATATATATATATATATATATCTCATGATCCGCTGATCGGATCTTAACCAGATTAGTATGGGACCACCTCTGAGACACTACCTTTCCGATGCAAAAATTATTATCGAAATCGGTNAAAAAAAAAAAAAAAATATTCCGACGAACTGATAGCCTCCTCCTTTTTTGGAAGTCGGTTAAAAATAGCCATCAGTGTCTTCAGATATTTTTAGATATTTTATTTTCCTTAACACATACATGTATTATCGAGCCCTAAATTTTAATTTATATCCAGAAATTTATCTAGATACTCTGGAAACATTTCTGCATCAAAAGAAAATTTGGAACGAAAATTTGCGATATGTGTCTGTTAAATTTTTTTCTGAAACAAATGTGTTTCATCGCTAAGTACCATTTCAGAAGAAGCTGTCATTTAATTCGGCCTAGTTTAACCAGTGGACAACAATTGTAAAATGATTACAACAACTCTTTACCAATTTACTGTAAATGAGAGATAATTTTAAGGTTAAAAACCCACTTGTCAGCAGATATTAATAAATCTAGCCAATCGCTCAGTTGGCAGAGCCAAAATACATTATTTTAACGGCGTATCAAATTTGCATTAACTTTTGGTCATTGATTTTTGTTTTGCCAATTACTGGAGAAGTAACCTTGAGAGACCTACCAACTGAATTTGGAATCTAGAAGAATATTGTAAGATCCCAAAATTGGTCTTAAATTTTCGCCTGAAACAATCAAGTGTCGCTTTCGGAGTAGTGAAACTCCTTTCAAGTAAATTCCATTACATTCGCCGTCATTTACCTGCGAGAAGCTTCTAAAGCGGCTGCGAATCTTTACTGCAGGTAAGAGACATATTCATTTCATATTCATTGCCCATTGGAATGCCTTTGGAAAAATTCCTATGCAAATATGGAGAGTGTGCTTAGTTAAACTAATTGCTGCTATTTTAACAATTTATTGCCTGCTATTGCACCCAACTTAATATGGAATTTTTATCGAAATTTATTTAATTTATGTAAATAAATAATAAATTTCCTGTCCAAATCTATAATTGACCAAATACCCCAGCCATTTGCAACATTTTAACTCATTTTCTATTGCATTTGTATTTGTAGGATAGTTTTGTGTATGTATGTATGTTTAGTTTCATTTGCCTGCAGCTGTTCTCGCACCTAAATACTGCTCAATAACCTTCGATATAACGGCTTACACCATAAAATTGTTTGTATGTATATGTACTTAGTATGTACATACATAACGTACCTACTAACGTCTTAAGAACTATTTATTTGTATGTATGCTCGTACTACATATTTAGTATGAATGTGTGTCGCTACTTTTTTATTATTTTAATCGAATTTATTTATGCATATCTAATATTTATATATGTCTTGCTACAAAGTAATGTTATCTCATATGGAATACATACATATACATACATACTTACGTACCTATGTAATTCGTTATTCATGAGTGCTTATGTAGTGGTAATATGTTGGTTTTCATTTATGTATTCATAACCTACTTGTTAATGCTATCTATTTAACTATCTGAGATGAATTGCTTGAATGAATGAGCTGATTATTGCACGCAATGACATACATACTACATACATATGGAGAAATATTTAATGCGAATGCGGCTAAATGAATTATTGAATGTTAATAAGAATGATGGCAAAATTGCTGAATAAATGATTGCAAATGTGGATGATTGAATGAATGAATGAATGAGAGCATTATAAGCATTTATGTTGCAAGCATATTTAATACATACATACGAACATATGTATGTACATACATTTATGAATGCGTTGCATTGAATGAGCGTTTAAATAACGTTAAAGCGTAAATGTGTAGTAGTAGGCATACGAATATATATTTAAACATAGACAGAGACAAAGTGTGGGAATACAGTATGAGTTGAATTGAGAAGCGTATGCAGTCAAGTAAATAATTTTAATACTATCTATGTATGTATGTTTGTATGTAAATAGTTGAATGAATGAAAGAGATTTTGATTACGGCAAAATGCAAAAGTAACTACGGACCACATATGTGCACTCATTGGTATTTACAAATACACAATAAACCATATTTACACATGTTTACTACATACATATGCATATTTATATATGTATACTTATATATAATTCGCATGAAATGGTTGTGTTGTCTATATGTGTTAATCATTTAATACTTCTTACGCTTCCAGTAACTAAGGCAAAGAATTGTAGCTGTCGAGCCCAATTCTATTCTTCTTGCTCATTTGCTTCGCTGTATTCACTTCCACTAGGAGAAGGGATTTAATGAATTGCGTGGAAACAGGTAGTGCATTGGACTTTAGTGGTTTGGGTTCGTGGTTGGTTGGCGCATCATGGACAAGTTATTGGAGGCAAGCAGTTCGATTGGTTAACTTCAATGAGGTTTAGAAAAAAAAACAAGAAATTAGAAGATTTGTTAACACAAATAAAATAAAATATAAATATACAAATAAGTGTTTGGGTTGGATTGCTAGGACTTTGAAAAACTCAAATGAGTTTTCCTTATGGTCGAAAGCACTAATTTTACAAACACGGTTTAGTCCTTATAATCCTTAAAGAGCTAATAAACAGCGTTGTCACATATGTATGCAAATCCAGAACCCTGAACCCAAGACACATGATCAGTAGAAGCAGTGGACTCTGAGTTGGCGCGCACCAAAAAAAGCCAAATTGGCTCTGCTCTCCAACAAGATCGTGGCATGTAGACGGTGCAAGACAATGCCCGCGTGCAGGTCCAGCATATTCTACAGAGTTAGCCCTCCGCGAATATTTTCTGTTTCCAAAGATTAAAAAGTGACCCGGTGATAAAAGATTTGGTTCGAAATAAAGGGCACATCCCTCTTTTGAGCACCCTGAACAAGGCCATTGTTTGGCATAACGAAATTTAAAAGCAGAAAAGAAAAATTTCTTGTTAAAATTACACAAATAAACGTCGAGACACGTAAATTTAATTTTGATTCGTAGAATACGGATTTGTATAGGTACCGTTTTTCTATAACATCTTCTTTTTCCAAGATATAGGTATTTAATTGAAGTTCGAATTGCGAATGAAAATAATACAAACTTTAATATTGAAAATGTTACTCATACGCCATGTGTGAGTAAGTCCAACTACTGCCATGTACGATATAGCGTATGGGTTCCATTATGCACATATATCTTGTTTCTATTTCATGTAATGTTTATTTATCTACCAATGTTGCTTGATTTTTTGGCAACAGAACAGAATTTTTTATTTACTATTTTTTTCCTTGTTAAAGCTTAGTATCCAGCTCTCAAGAAAAGCAAAAACTCCATATCAAATGACGCACAAAAAATGCTTAAGAAAGTTTGTTGCGAGAAAAAGAGCACAAGGCAATCCATGTTTGCAACAGAAATATATGCCTGTTCCATTATGTCTTAAAGAAAGAGTGAGGCAACTAACTGTGAAATATCAGATATCAAAATTCCTTGATCACACACATGAAATAGTAAATTTTTTTCTTTACCGTTTTCTTAAGAGCTGCATACTAAGCTTAAGGTTCGACTTTTTTTGTATAAAAATGAAAATATCTCGACCCAAAATGAAGTTTACGTGTCTCTTTGAGATTTTCTGTACAGTGTAATTAACGACATAAATGTTCTCACTTAACCCAGACAACTGCTTGCCTCCGTGTTGTTCAATTGACTGCGATTGGGGTTGTTTTGACTATGGTTGGGTTTGTGCAATAATTTGGCTAACTTTTCTCTACAACAAATTACATTTTTCTGTTATTTATGTATAGTTATTTAGTCTGCTAATTTTCGCTTTTACTTTTATTTAAATATTCACTAATTTATTTCACATATAATTTTGTCTTATTTAGCCGAAATATTTGCATTACTTTTTTCTCTACTTTGATTTATTCTTTGTTTTCATTTACATAAAAAATTCACAAAAAAAGCAAAAGACATTTAAAGCAAACGAAGGAAAAAATTTCTAGAAAAAACTTAACTAAGCAGCGTTTTCTGCATTTTCCGCACCGCATACCAACAAAAATTTTCGAAAATTTTCCTCAACTTTTATTGGTTTGTGTGGAAAGTGCTATGTCGCTTTATTCACACATTACATACATACAAATTTGTTGATGTTTGTTTGTTTGTTTTTAATAAGGAATATCGACGTGCTCATTTTGTTGTTGTTGTTGTTGTTGTTCTTCTTCATCTTGTTTTCGTATTATTTTGATTTTCGCTTAAATTTTGCTGTTGATTTGTGTTTTCGTGGTTGCTTTGCAAAAAACATGCCACACTGCTATTAGAGGAAGCATTGTGTTTGTTGTTGTTTTCGTGTTTTTTGCACTAGCGGAAACACAAATTCACATCAATTTAAACACACACATTTAATGTACAAATATACGCGTATTTACTTATGTTTTGTAATTTTACATTTTTCACTAATACAATTACGGTTAAATTTTGAATTTTGATTTCAATTTAATTTTTTTTTTTTACAAATTTTTATAATTTTTGTCCTATAATTTATATGCCTAAAGTTTTGAGTTTTATGCCAAAATGGTGTTTGCTCTATGTATAAAATGTTTGCGTATGGGATGCGGAGCACATATATATTTATTAGGTGGTGTGCGGCTGAAGATTTAAAATTGAAAAGTTTGACAAATCAAAATGATTTTAAGAAAATAATCGATCAATCTACAAACTCGATTTAAGGAATACAAACGTCTGGCCGTCATAATCGCCCGCACTCCACCTTTTCGAGCGCCAACGCTTCCCCTCTCCGCCACCCCTCCGTCGCCTGGTAAATGTACATAATTTTTGAGGTCGTATAAGCTTTTTCTTGTTTTCTTTTTTTTAATTGCTTTTTGCACACCAATACACACATGTATAAACAAATTCGCTGTTAAATTCCTTCCGTATTCTTTCTGAAAATTTTCACTAAAAAATTCGCTTAGTTTTGATTTTGCGCTTTTCTAGAATAATTATTAAAAAAAAATTATAACTAAGAAAAAGTTATGTTTTTCACTGCAGAGCTTTGATTTAAAAAAAATTTTTTTTTTTTGAAAAATTCAAATTTTTAGATGTACTGTTATTGAGGGTAAGGAAGAGGATTGTGTTAATACTGGTGCTTGGATGAAAGTGCTTTTGTGTGCGGTTGTGAAAGGAAGTCACGGGATTTTTTTTTTTTTTTAAATAGTTTAACTACCGTATGCTTTTCAAAATATTTTTCCACTAGTGAAGCAGCATTAAATCCGAAGTAAATTTATTTTGAAAAGCAAAGCAGTTATCAAATTACAAATTGAGCAATTAAGTTTACCACTACATTCTTAACGTAATAAATACTCTTAGATACACAATCCTTAATACAAATATCGCTTTTACTTTCTGTTTCTTTTTTATGGTTTCTAATCGATTGCACTTTTAAAGTAAAAAATAAAAAAAAACAACTAGTCGAATACTTCACAAATGAAAGCAGCTGACAGTTTGTGTAAAGATAAATGGAAAAAAGTGGTATTTCCTTGCGTTGAGCATATCAAAAGCTTATATAATACAGGTCAAAGAACGGACCTTAAGCTCGCACAAAGCTCTCACAAACTCCCACATTGAAAGCTTATACGGAGTACGCACTGAGGTCAAATTCAGCGATTCTCAGTTCAAGGATATATTTTCTCCTGAGCGACCTCTTGTGCAAAGGAAAGATGAAGGGATGTCCTTTAAGGCTGTTTGCTGCTTTCTACAGGAATATGGCTGTGTTCTATATAGGAACTTCCACTAACTACAACACCTTGGGGCTTCTGCCATCGCTAAACTCTCGCAAACACATTCTCCAATCTTTGTTGAAGTCTCCAAAAGTGACACAAAGTCAGTATCTGTAGCTTATATCCAAAACAACGGTGAAAGTATTCGCAGCTCTCCCTGGAGAAATATACCACGGTATACCAAGCTACAATTTGCAATACCCAAGGTCATCGACTACGTGGTGGAAATTTGTTGAGGAGGTAATTAAAACTGTACTCAAGGCATTGCCTACTCCGTTACCATTTTTCAGGCTAATAGAGAATTGCAAGCTTTTAAATTATATTTGTAGGTATATTAATCTTGCTTCTTTTGGGTGCCTGGTTGCACTGGAGTAATTGTTACGGAGATATTTATATGACCATCTGCATCTAGTTTTAGTACCCCTATTTTCAGCCATAAAAGTGGCTTTGGAAATGTGTGAGTACTAAGCTCAGCAACAACTAGGAGTCCTTGAGGGTCTGTAGGCGAGCAAAAATTATATTGTTTTCGATCTCAGAAGGTCTAGCTACATACATGTGCAGGTATCTGGTATACAATTTCATTGAGGAGATAAAAAAATGGTGCGGCGGTAGACTTTGGGTACTTCTGCCTTGCCGCCGCAAAGGTGAATGATTAGAAAAATGGGACGGAAATAAGGTCCACCATTACACAGAATTGATCTAGAGCAGATGTTTCTTCTTGTTTTATATGCGCCTTGTGGAAATTTCGTTCGCATAAACCTTTGCCTTCTTTTACTCTTTCCTTAGAATTTAACATTGGAAGGAAGCTCCTGCCAACTGCTTTCATACTTACTTATTATTTGAGTATTAAAATGCCCTAAAATTATTTACACAAAGTGCTTTCGACGCTGCACGCTACAACTGCACAACTCACTCAAAACTTAGCTAAATCTATTCAGATCTTATACACATTTTCCATATTCACACCCTCACACACAGCTGTCAGTTTAAATTTCTAGTAATTAAACTTGCACAAGCACATTCAAATTATTACACGCTGGCACACATACAAACTAGTTACGCATTCGTAGAACAGAGCACTCCCTTAATTGCTTAATTGTAGCAAATTCAAACGCAAATGAATGCAATCAACTGACTGTGAATAATGAATTATGCAATTTTACATAATTATACTAAACTCTACGTATGTATATGTGTTCGAGAGAGCGCCTCAACTACCGTCGGCACCACCACATTTAACGTGGCATCACACAAACGCATAATTTTGCAACGAATGACTATTTAGAATGAATATCGATTTTTAGCCTAAATGTTAATATATGTATGTTTTCGGGTGCAAGTGCACTCATATTTATACTAAATATTTGTTGGTTTGTTTGTTTGTACAGCTAAATATTTATGTTTGCTTAAATGTAGGCATGTCTATCGAAAAGTAGTTGAAACGAGAACATCCACAATTATTTGTAAATCATAAATGATTAGTTTGCCGCCTAATTGCCGCCTGTATTTAGTAGCTTAATTTACATATTAGTTGTAGCCTTACATTAATGCTGCTTACTTTGCTAAAGGTAATATTTTTTTCCCTCCTTCTCAAATGCATTTATCCGCATTCCGTTTAGTGTGTGTAACTTAATTCCTGTTTTAATCTCAATCAATTCATTTTGTTACTCATACGCCCCAGCACCCCTTTTTTGCTGACTGACCGGCGCGCGCGCCCACACGCTTCGTACTCGCCTACATTCACTTACACTTTGAGCGCGTTTCTCGAGCAAATCGCCGGATTGCTACACACTTCCTCCACGCCGCGCTCGTACTGCTCCTCACCCTCTTCATCGCTGCCGCGCTGATATGCTAGTGACGTCGCACCTTGCGCCCCAGCGCCACAGGCGTTCCGAGCGGCTTCCGTGGCTTTTCGTGTCGCCACTTTGTTGTTAGCGCGCGCAGCTAGCACGGCAGCGGGCGGCAAGGACACTACAACTGCATGCAAGCCATCGCCATCGCTTATGAGCATGTCCTTGTCGGCCAAACGCTGCTGTGCCACCGAGCACCTGTACGCAATCAGCACCAAGGTGATCATGAAAGTACCAGCGATCAGCCCAAAGAGCAACGGCTTCTGCAAATCGGAGAGTGTGGCAATGGTTAGTACATTTATGTCAGGCTTCTGTAGTGGTTCGATGGCGCTGATGTCGCTGTTCTTGGAGTGCCAGTTGAAAATGAAATTTGTGTGCTGATTCAGAGTCTCCGCTGACTGATCTTGGTCGTCGTCGTGTTCGTCGTACGGAAGCACCGCAGCATTGTCCACTTCGGCAACATAGCCCTGGGAGTGCGAGGCAACAGCAGAATCATCGTCCCCGCTAGGGTGTTCAAGTGCATTGTTGTTGACTTCGTGTGGTTGATGTTGGTCGTGGTTGAAGAGTTTGCTGCCGACAGTTGTTGTGGAAGTTGAAGTAGCGTCGACGTTGGGCGATTGTGTTTTGTGTTGAGCAGAATTATCGTGGGCATTCACTGCTTCGGAGGTGTCAATGCTCAGTGGCAGAGAACGCGACATGAAACCGGTGAGCTGAAAGGAAAGAAGAAAATTACATATATTTAGAATATTAGTGGACAGTCTGCTATAGAATGGTGTCACATATCTGGGCCCTATTTGTAAGCTGTACGAGTATAAGAACACAAGTTGCCAATTATAAGGGGTACGTGTAACGTCTTTGCCCTGCACGTCTTTTAGAATTTGCAAGCAACAGGGTTCTGCGTTATATTAATCCTAGAAACATAATACGGTAGCTAAAAGTATAATTGGTTTCAAATACCCACTATAGAATTGTAAACCTCCTGGCTCCATTGAAAATGTTGACTTAAGCAAAGCCAATCTGCAAACAGGGTTCTGAATTAGTTCACATTTATACTTAGCTGGAAAAACATGCTCTAATAAATTCAATTCGTCATCCAATTAGTTTTAAGCGGCTTTTCAGAGAAATAATATTATGGCAATAAAAACGGTTATACATGTTTAGCAATCGCGTTTATTTGGACGCCATTTTGCTGTTAATTACAGCGAAAAACGCTGCATTCCATTCAACGGCTATTGAATTTTCACTCGCACACAACTATTAAGATTTATTGCTACGCAACTGCGCAACGAATTTTGATACATAATTTCCGATTTCTCGCTAAAAACACTTAACTTAGACGCCTAAACAATTTGAGTGAATGATAAGCAAATTCTAGCAGTATGCTGGTGGAATAAGGGGAATTTTAACCAAGGAATGAAACCGAAACCCAAACCGAAACCGTAACCGTTTAAAACCGTTTCGTTTTTCAAAACCGAAACCGAAACCGTAACCGTTATCTTGACCTGAAAAGGAACGATACCGAAACCATTTCAATCACAGGTTTCAATCGGTTTCCAGAAATTTACAAAAATAATAAATA